GACGCTTAAAATTTTGGCTAGGGATAAATTGCCCAAATAGCATAATCTTTACTCAAAAACTATTAAATGATTTATTTCGAACAAAAAATACACTCTTGTATTTTGAAGAACGATTGATTAAAGGGAGATCATGATTTCACCAAAATAAAAGATGACTAATTCTCAGAGTTCTCAAGTGATTGTCTGCTGTCTCATTTTGTTTATTCCATTTGTTTTCCTGTACTACCTCCGCATTGACAGCTACTTCTATCATCCTGACAATAATGCCACTACAATCGAGCAGGCTGAACAACTATTAGGCAGTGACAAAGCGCCCTTGATTATGGCCTTTAATGGATGGGTGATGAACGACAATCCGCTGAGAAACTTTGCCGAACCTGGCTCGAACGTATACCTTCGTCGCGAGCTGATCGTATGGGGTGACTCGGTTAAGCTACGGTATGCTGATACTTGCTTATAACCGGCTTTGTTAAATGCCAATCAAAACTATCAGCTTATTCTATTCCTTGATATTTTGACTTTTAGGCTATTATTTTATCTATTAAGAATAACTTGGTTTCGATGTATCTCCTAAGATAATAGCGTTTGTGAGACTTTCATTTCGTATGATAGTGCATGGTGAAGTATTTCGTAAGTTGATCTCACCAGAAGACGCCGGTTGATTTCCGTTCTACTACAGTCGTTTGGCTTTAATACGACGTTTTGGTTGATGCAGTTCACGGGACATCCTCTCATTTCGGGTGAAAACTGGCTGAGCTTACGTCCATCATATGATAGACGTCAAGAGAGCTGGAACTCACTCTTGCAAAAGTTACATGCTAACACTATGGCAAATTTTATAGCATAACAGAATTAATCAAACTTTCTATATCCCTTACTAATTTTTTTTTCGTTAATAGTATATATTGCATGTAGGACATAGCCAGTTAGTCTTCTTGACCTATTGTTAGCGTGAGACTTTTACAAGAATGAATTCCAGCTCTGCTGTTGTCCATCATATGATGACCGCAAGCTCAGCGAGTTTTTTTACGAAACGGAAAAGAATGTCTCGTGGATTGTGTCAACTTGAATGTCGTATTAAAGCCAAACTGCTGCAATACAACGGGAATCAGCCGTCATCTTCTAGTGAGATCGACCTTCGAATCTCTTCATCGTGCCATTTTATACGAAATTTAAATCTCCCAACTATCTATTATTTTCGAAGATATGAAGACCAAGATGGGGTGGCCTTTTGTGTGGTCGCAGTCACCTTTAGGTGTATATGAGTTGTTTGACCTTGTTTTCGCAACTTGGTCATATTCGTAGGAAGACTGAAAGGAACGCACTTAGTCTGGAGTCCAGTGTATGCATGATAATTTACAGACTCGGATCATAGGCGTGGTACATTCCCAGACGTTTCGCCGGCATCATAGTCGGCATCGTCAGTGAGCTTTGCCATTCTTAGCATCATACTACAACTCGTTAAGATTCAAGCGAAGCCGATCCTTTGACCAAACGTGTGCTAAACAGTTGTGGTATATCTTCTTCTGCCCTGGGCTATTCACATTTCCTATATCTTTGTATTAAGCCTTCACTATAATAATTTTTTATCGTGCTTATTTAGATGTAGTATGGTGTGCTCTTTTGAGCGGCATTCATGAGAACCCTTCACACTCAACGCTGGCGTTCTCACCCCCATTCACCTTTGTGCTGAGAATGTTGATCAGAGTCTGTCATATTGTTGCACATTCCTCCTTCATATCTCCCTGGTTCAAGTATTTTACTCGACCTCTGGCATCCCATCTTTGCTACTCGAGGCGTTATTACCCCTCCCCTGCGTCTGGGTGACTAATTCGAGGCTAAAGCCTTTGAATAAGTCTCATGGTCAAGCCTTTGCTGCATGGACCACTTCTCTGGTATAACCTACTGTCAGCCAACTAGCTTCAGTCTCCGCCGCGTCTATCCTGTTTCTATCCCTAATACCACAACTATGACTTCCTATATCCTAGTCTCTTCTGTGTCAACCCACAAATGTTGTGATACTGCTTGCTTTGATTAGATTTAATGTTGAACCCCAACGTTTGTGGGTTTGCAGACAAGATACTACGACATAGTAAGTCATAGATTTGGTATTAGGGATAGAAACAGGATAGACTCGAGGAGACTGGAGCTAGTTGGCTGACAGTAGGTTTTACCAGTGAAGTGGTCCATGTAGCAAAGACTTGACCATGGGACTTATTCAAAGGCCTCGAATTATTCACCCAGGCACAGGGTAGGGGTAATAACGTATCGAGTAGCACAGATCGGGTGACTGGGCCGAGTAAAATACTTGAACCAGAGAGATAGCGGACGGATTCTACGTGGCTAGAGGAAGACTGTGACAAGACCTAGAGAAGTAGGACTGCGTAAAACTATGGCAGACTCTGATCTACATTCCCAAAACAAGGGTGAAGGGAGGGTGAGAACGCCAGTGTGGAGGGTTCTTATGAATGTCGCTAAAAAGAGCACATCACACGGTAAAAATTGTAACAATGAAGACGTGATAAGAGGATATAGGATAGGTGAATAGCCCAGGGCAGAAGGAGAGATATCACAATTGTTTAGCACACGTTTGGTCAAAGGATCGGCTTCACTTGTCTCTTTAACGAGTTGTAGTATGATGCTAAGAATGGCAAAACTCACTGACGATGCCGGCGAAACGTCTGGGAATGTACCACATCCATAGTCCGACTTTGGAAACTATCATGCATATATTGGACTCCGGACTAGGTGCGTTCTTCTAAGTCCTCTACCAATATGACCAAGTTGGGAAAACAAGGTCGAACAACTTCTATCTATTATTTTATTCTTACTTTTTATGGCATACATCTTTTCACTCATTTTAAGGTCTAACTATTAGAAGCCCATTTCCCACGGCTCTCAGTGACCATTAACTTCTATTGCAGTCTTAAGCAACTTTTTGTGTCCTTTTAAGGGCCAACTAATGAACCGCTATTTACTCCTTCGATTTCAATGCTAAACTTGCTAGGTGAATGCCTTTGTGACTTCTATTATTCCCAGATCACGCAAACTTCGTCTACCGCCTGAGCATAACTTCTCTTAATGGAACTCTCAAAATTACTTTGGCA